CCCACCTCATGACCTAGCCGCCCATCGAAGTGAATTCTGTCTCGTTGAACCCCCCCCCCCCCCTATGCACCTCTGTTTATTTCCACCACCTCAAAGCCTTTCTCTCGACTCATCCGCCATATCTCTTGGTTTGCGTTGACCACCGCTCTTTGCAGGTTGCTATCACGCACCGGTACCTCCGGTATCGTGCATATCACTACCTGTACCTTAGGAGAAGTGGCGCGCATGTCATCGACGCCTTTCGCCAGTGTGGCTGCTAGTCCTGCTGCATATTCATTTAGGACATCGTTTAAACCTCCTGAAATTATCACTAGGTTTCGTCTATCAGCTGTCGTTTTGAGCTTTGCGCTCGCTTGCCTCATGACTGCTTCCAGCTTGCGCCCTGGGAAGGCCCCTACTGCAACCCTCTTGTCACCTCTTACCCTCTCTTCGATGGCTTCTGTGCATCGATTTAAATTCGAGTCCCCGGCGATTATCACATGCTGTGACTTTTCAGCTTGACCGTTCTGCACCTGGGGGCTACTTGCACCTGTGACGCCGGCTGCTTTGTTCCCTCCCTGCCCCACCACTACCTCGCTGAAGCTGGGCCTTGGGACAGTTGAAGCAGCTAAACCTGTTTTTTCCAAACTTGCTTGATTTTCCTTCTCCGCCGTTCTGGTTGCGGGTTCTCTACTGTTCTCTCGGTAGGTCGCTTCTTTGTTCATCTTCGCTAGCGCTTCCTCGGCGGACTTCAATCTTTCTCCCATTGCCCTCGTTTTCTCTTGCTCTGTCGCCAACGCAGTCTCGAGCTCGGTGATTCTCATCAGCAGTTCACTCTGGGGAACCATCATTTTCTCCATTTTTTCCTCGACCTCACATTGCCTACACTTCGCGTCCGCCTCTTCTCCATCCGCTTCTACGCTTGGGTCCACTTTCAAACCCACTCCACATCGTGAACACTTTACAGTCTTTTTAACCATGCATTTCTGACACCAATTGTCCCTATACTCGATAATTACTAAACTCGGGCTTTGCACTACGAGAAAAAAAAAGAAAGTCTAAGCTCTACTACAAAAATTTGCGTGTTCAATGTACGCGCACCTCCCCCACGGGGTGGCAAAAGAAAAAAAACAACAACAAATTCAAACACACACACCCGCACTAACTAATAAATACCTGGTGACTGGCCCCCGAAAAAGCCGTACCATAAAATAAGTGCTACGAAGATTTCAACCGCTGCCTTATAATTATAAAGACAAGCTCAAAACATGCAAAAACACTTATCTGCGCAGTCGATCCGGAGCGCTCAAAAAACACGTCCATCCACCTTGACAGCCCGAACCGAATCCTTCTAAAATATATTCCGCATATGCACCGCCATCCAGCAGACATTCCAAGGACTAAACGAGAGGTGGCACACGCACGCTTTCTTACGACTTGCGTTTCGTGTCTACTTCCCACCTTTAACCACCTCGAGTTCGAGGTATATACTAGTTCACTGTATTCATGGCACTGCGGCCCAACGCTCGCTAAACCTTTCTAAAACCAAGGAGGTTATGCCGAGCGCGTATAACGTAGCAAACCTTTATTGTCAGATAGTGCTCAATGTTCATGCCAATGGCTGCTACGGGGATCCAGAGACTCGAGAATTCGGCTTTTAGTTAACGTGCACGCTGCGAATTTTTATTGTTCAACAACGCACAGAAGAAATCTCTCACCGGCACCACCTTGGAGGTCAAAATGTAAGACTTGTTACACAATACGACTACTGCTACGACTACGAGGGACGAACAGGGGCCGCTATAAGGAGCTTCGCCCCTAAAAAACGTGAACTCGATGTAATATCTTGCACTGGCATGGAACGCTACATATATGCGCAGCGTTGAGTGCACGGACGGCACCTCGCCTAAACTGTCAAACAGTACTTATACAGCTCCAGCATTGCAGTTAATTGAGAGGCCTAGCAGTTTTCAGCTTCTTTGTACAACAAAGGCGCAGCTCTTGTTGTTTTCACCCCCCCCCCCCACTCCCCACTCTACGCGAACAACGATGCTGAAACTGTAGAAGAAGATTTTTAGACAGTTCACTGGCTAACGCGATCCAATCCGAAGCCTGTACTTCCCATAATCCCATGAGGGTACATGATTGCAGCGCCAGACTCTCCTCTAGGTATTATTGTATGAAACTCTATGTTCGCTTCAAACCGTTCCACTAGCACCCGCGTCGACGCCCGCTACAACTGGGTCAGCGCCATGCACACCACTGCTACTTCGCATCCCATGGGGAGCCTTCATGTGCGCGCCGCCTCCGTGAGACGCGCACACATAAAGGCTCTCTAGCATCCCATTAGGGTTGGTTCAGTTTGGTGAGAGGGTCTATAGCTTTTTGTATGTTTCGGTTTTTTTAGAAGGAACGAACGAACCCTTTTGAACTTTGTGACCTGATTTGAAATGGTAAGCACGGAATATAAAGATGGTAAAGTCCAACTACTGAACATTTGCCAATTTTTATTTCGCGACAAAATAGCTCCAAGCCACGCGAAGCTAAAAGGAACGTAAAGTGCGAAGGATAGGCAAATCTGTGTACTATGCATAATTTCCATGCTCAATGAAGCGCCATGTGTAGCAGCACCCACAGATAGCGCCAGAGTTCCCTTTAAATATAGGAAACTCTGTGATCGTGGCGATAACCCCGCATAGCGTGCTCCAACAAGAGTTCGGGACGAATAACAGTAGCAGAAACTACAGTGAATTCATGGTATGCTGCACTTGCAAGGACGCGTTACAATAGGGCAAGGTGCCCGTGATGAACGTAACTTTAGGTCGACCTATACGCTGCTTCGCATGCTACTCACGGTTCTCTTTAGTGGGAGATGGCTGTAATGTTTTTCATTCATAGTAGCAATCTTGCTCATTCATTTTCAAGCATGATGTGCCCCATTTGGAACGAGCCTTTGTCTTTATAATACATTCGCAGTATACTTGAAAAAAAAGAGAAAAAGTTTTCAAGTGGTTCACGAATTGGCGGGTTAAACAATATCTACTAGAGCTCAACATTGTGCATACAAAGAGAACGATCGCGGTAGGCCTGTAACGTGTATTTGAATGTGACTTTTTTGTCATGCTGGGCCTGTAACGAGTATTTAGATGTGACTGTTTTGTCATGTTGGGCCTGTAACGTGTATTTAGATGTGATTGTTTTGTCATGCCAAAAAAATCAAGTACAGAACGAGTTATCTTCGCACTGTACAGGGCTGAATTTTCTTGTTTGTGTTCCTATCAGTGACATCGATCACCCATTTGCTATAGTGTCATCTAGTAAAAGTGTTTCACTCGCATACTTTGTCTAACAGTTATAGTGCTCGATAGGAAGATCGCGGTATCAAATCGCGCCCACGGCAGCCACATTGCAACGGAGGCTCGAGGCCGATGTACTTTGATTTATAAAAAGCTCGTTTGAGAACAATTGTTCTGCATTCCTCCCCAATGCCATATCGCTGTTTTGATTGTTATAATTACGACAATGAATACCATATTATTTAGAAACACATTTGAGAATGTGTTTCCGAAATCGAGATGTCACTGTTAGAGTGCAATAAGAATATTAACTGCTGGTGTTTAACGTGTCAAACCACGATATGATTATGAGGGACGCCGTAGTGAAGGGCCTCATAAATTTTGACCACCTGAAGTTCTTTAAATGACCACCGACGCACGCTCGCGTGCCCCTCTCCGTGTCTATGTCTGGCTGAACGATGATACACTATCATGCCCCTTGTAAGAGCGCCGCCACAGACGCCATCTTGCCAGAGGCACAGCTTCACTCCTAGGCAATCATTTCCACTCCAGCATTTTTTTCTATTTCCAATTACTGTTGGCCGTTATGGCCGTAACAGGGTGGGTACAGTAAATGTTAACATAAAACAGAAACTAGTACAACGTATTGCAATGAAGACAGAAGTTATAAAAATACACAAAGGAAAAATATATATTTTTTACAACGCTCGTAATAAAAACGTACATACATATATTGTGATGGTGACTCAATATGAAGTAGCTACACGATGTATTTTCGAACAACATGGCAATATATGTACAATACTATAGCAACAGGCAATGTTCACGACATAATTTTAATGCACTTTTCAAAGCTTTCTATGCTCTTCGAATTCAGTACCGGCACTGGCAACTAATTCCACTCCTTTATCGTTCGTGGAAAAAAGGAATACGCGTACACATAATGATTGCATTTTGGAACCGAAAACACAAGCTCGTTGTATGATCTGACATTGCTGGAGGGCCTGGGAACAAGATAAGGTTTAGTTTCAATATTGAGGTGTCCTTTTGGTGACAAAAAAATTAAAGTCGACCACCTTTCTGGCGTTGAGCCAGCGTAGGCTATTCAAGCAACCGAAGCATTTCAGAAACGGAGTCATTTCGTGAATAACGCAATAAAATTATCCTTGCGGCTTTTCTCTGTATTTTATCAGTTTGATTTATTAACCACGACTGGAAGGAATCCCAAACTGCACTGGCGTATTCTAACGTTGGCTTTACGTAGGTCAAATAAAAAAAAATTCTCCTTGATCGAGAATAGCCGGCATGACGTGAACTGGTGACGCTGTGTATGAAAGACCCTGTCATTTGGCGAAAGAAAGCGTGCTTTCTGCTAGCAGATGCACGCGCTCGTTGCGTTTCAACCTCGGACGCTAAGCAAGGAGAAGTGGTCAAAAGAGTCGACCAACGCAGCCTATAGCGAAGGCAAGAGCGAAATGCGTTAAACTCCACCAGCGTTTACTACAGACTCGTACACAGCTGCAACGCCACTTGTATTGGTTCAGGGACCTTTAACGTGCACTGAAATCTGAGTACACGAGCACCAAGAATTATCGCCTAAATTCAAAACGTGGCTGCAGTGGGCGGGATTCCCCAACCTTCGGGTTAGACGTCCAGTACTAGAGCACCATAGCACCTGCGGCTAGGGTGCAAGAACTCTTGGTACAAAAACAATATGTATCGCAGGGCATCATCATCTACCGGGCAGCCTACTTCGGCTTCTTCGACACGGCCAAAGGCATGCTCCCGGACCCCAAGAACACGCCCATCGTCATCTCGTGGATGATCGCCCAGACAGTCACCACTGTGGCGGGCATCATCTCCTACCCATTCGACACCGTCCGGAGGCGTATGATGATGCAGAGCGGTCGCGCCGTGGAGGAGCGCCAGTACAAGAACACCATTCACTGCTGGGGCAAGATCTACAAGACGGAAGGCGGCGCCGCTTTCTTCAAGGGAGCATTCTCGAACGTCCTCCGAGGCACCGGAGGCGCGCTTGTGCTCGTCCTCTACGATGAGATAAAGTCGTTCATTTTCTAAGATGAAGCATTAGAGCATAGTTTAACTAATAGGTATGTGTACTCAATGACGATTGTTCGAGGCGTTTTCTAGACCAGTCGCACAGGTGGTTCCTAGAATCAAAAACAGAAGCAGTGGCAGATTAACGCATCCCTCGTCTTGTCAACAAAAAGTGCTTAGGTTAACGAGTCGGCATTGTAGTTTTAACCATTTGGACCTTTTCCATTAATCAACGGCACTATGTATAATATCTGCACGGGTGTATGAGGTTTAGGGAATCATATTTATTACTTGCATCAGACTTAGCAGAGGCGAAAACCTGAACTGATCCTTTGATTTTGGATATTAGTGCCAAAACTTCAGCCTGGTGCGTTGTGCTCAGCAGATGCGCGTGGCCGACCCCGTATTCTCTTGGGCGGCAGCGTGACCATATCGCATTTCCACCCGCCCCGCTTTGTTTCCGTTCAGGTAGGCCAGACGTTTTGCTGTAGGGAGCGCGGACGTCTTGCGTCAACGCCGCAAGGGCTGGTAAAGAGATCTTTTCTATTTTCGTAGTTTCGTTCAGTCGCGCCACCAGCCGCATTTAAATTTACGCTCTCACGTGCCGAAGGGTCGCAGCGTTTCCTGACGATGAACAGACCTGAACACTTATAGTGACACCTACACTTCCCCCTCGTATACTCACTATGTCCAGCGGCTTACGTAGAACGCGAGATCAGTGATAAATGATGATCCTCAACCAGACAATAGGTCTCGAGGACGGGCTCAAGTACAAGTTGTGTAGAGCCACTGCGTAACGTAGCTATATTTACTTACAGTGCGAGCTTCCGGCCGTGCACGTCCTGTAGAGGCCAAGGCGGCTGTTTGCCGGAGAATGGTGAAAAAGTAGTAGAGGTGCTGGTTACGAGGACACGCTGTGGCCCCTTCGATGACTCAAAATTTTCGCATGTTGGCAACGCCGGCATGCACGCAGGCTCTCACAGCTCGTCGCATTACCTGTGGTTTTATAGTACGGGATCCGGCTTACGGGCCCAGCCAGTTAGTGAACAGATCACACGGGTGTGTCTACGTAGAGAGAAGCTTAGTGACAAGAACAATGCAAGTCCTTTCAAGCTCGAGTCGCCACACTGACAATTGATGCAATAAAAGAAAATTGATGCAAAATAAAACAAAAGAATTGATGCAAAAATGAAATAAAAGAACGTTGTTTTCGATTGTAAAAAATTGGCGTCAAGTGCATTCCTTTTCGCTTCCCGATGTAATACGCACGCAGTCGTGTTCAACAAGCCTGCCGATGACACCTTCTACATTGGGATAATTTGTCAAATATCTGAAGAAAAAAACGCAGGTTGAGTACGCAGGTGAACATTTTTTCCCAATTGTTTCCTTTTTCGTAACAGCCAGTCTTTTTGGGAGTGACCTGAGAACCGTTCTGCAATTCTGACAAGCTGTGTTGAACTAAGGAACTGAGTCGGTAGAATTATTTAAAGTCAATATACTAACAACATATAGCTTTAAAATTGTTGGTTGCATAAAAAGGTCCTGGTAAAAAGCAGGCAATGACGGCATGACAGCTCGCTTTTCCCGAAGCGTGGTAAATATCGCATGTCATCTAACCCTGCTACTTCCAAAACATGCGAGACCATGCGGGTTTCTGGATGAACAACACCTTTATTGTTAGTATTGAAAAATTGTTTGCTCCTTTAAAGTAAAGGATATTACTCTATAAAAATTTACATATAGGTCTGCGTTAGCAGAACGCATTAAAGTGGCGCTTCCTTCGCATGAGGTATTCCATGCTCGTCAGTGCGTCTTGAGCAACGTTCTTGCGGGCTAATGAAACCGTGTGCGCAGTTTCCAGGTCCCTAAAATTTCGGAGCGACGTGGTGTTTTTACCCTACACGTTCTCTCAAATAATGACGTGTACTGCTACTCGGCATGGCCACGCATATGCTCAGAGACGTTTTTGGTGACTTGGCTTGGCTCGTGTGTGGAGAGAGTAACGATGACGGAACAAGCCATCCACGACACAGGCACATCAACCTGCAGCGCAAGCACATGCAACGTGGTACAAATGCAGGGAAGCTGTATAAAGCCACATCGTCTCATTGTAGCTAACAGCTTCTTTTATTCAAAAATAGTTGTGAAGCTCAGGAAAAAAAAAACGTGCATAAGCATAGCTAGAGGAACTCCTGCGAAAACAGAACAACGACAGCATGCACAGGCCACTAAAGACTACCGGAGTCGCGGTCAATTTTATCGTTGCTGGAGAAAAGGGACCTCCTTGTTCTAAGCGTTTCAGATAACTTTTGTGATTAACTTTTGTGCCTTTGTGATTAACTACTGCTGCTACGAACACTGAGAAGGGTAAGCTTTCTGTCACACCGGCAAACCTAGATTGAAAAAAGTTGTTGTTAGTCCTAAGGAAGATAAGAAGAAGGTGTTTAATGAGAAGTCGGAGAGGTCAGCCTGGAAAGCGGGTTTCTAGCTTGCTACTCCTCACGGGGGTAAGGAAAAGGGGAAAGAAAGAGTAAAAGGAGGGTACGATGAGGGGTGATTGTGATATAGCACAATGAGTCACTGCACACAGTGTCTCGTTCGGTGTAGGACACGCACAAATGTCTACATTACGGGCTAACAAAAATAAAGACTGGTAGGAAGTTATATGGACGAGATAACAATTGACAAATAACCTTAATGCACAATGCACCAACTTTGCACCATGCATTGTTCAACATTCGCAATAAAAGGGAAAAGACAAAAAGACACAAGTGTCTAATAAGTGCAGTAGACACTTAAACGCATGAGACATTATCAAAGCATGTGACTGAAAGAAAAAGAAACGTCAAGTAATGAAATGAAAGAAATATGGGTGGCAAAATTTTGTCACTTTGTTGTGTTTTTTTTTTGTGCCACAATATGCTCAGCCTGGGATGTTGTACTGGAGGACTCCTGGATTACATAACTCTTATGCGTGTTTATTGTGCCCCTGTGTGAGTAACTGAGAGAGCTGCACGTTATTGGCGTTAAATTTCTGGACGCTGCACTGCACTGCGAAGGATGCTGTATTTGGGTGCTACAAAGTTAGTTTAGTTGTGCACCGTTCTAAAAAAATAAATACTTTTCATTACATCTTGTTTAGAAATAGAAGGAAGCAACGTTACAAAGGGTGAATCATTACACAAAAGCATGTTATAGCTGCGAAAAAGAGAAAACAAATTCATGATCTTGGACAGGGCATTTGGGTGGAGATGAAATGCTGGTGGGTTGCTCACTTACATTTTAACTACATGATAAAAGTGATGTGGCCCGAAGTATGCTTCAGCAAGGGAGGAATCTTGGACAAATTCATGATCTTGGACAGGGCATTCGGGCGGAGATGAAATGCTGGTGGGTTGCTCACTTACATTTTAACTACATGATAAAAGTGATGTGGCCCGAAGTGTGCTTCAGCAAGGGAGGAATCTTTTAGGTATCTTAGAGTGTGTAGGCATTGTGCTAAGGGATGCAAAATTACACCCACCTATACCGTGTACAGAAGTGCACGTTAGAGAATTCTGAGCTTTCAAGACTTCCAAAGCCCTCCACTGCAACCTGCCTCCTAATGACATCATGGTTTAGAGCATCAAACTCCACAAAAACACAATATAAGGTGCCATGTCATGTAGGTGACATGGAGTTATATAAAATGTGGTAATTATTTGTGGTAGTGACAGGCTAACATATTGCAACAATGAAAAAACTTTCACGTCAGGAAACGGGAGGAAACAAGTGTTATAGGTAACGGGCTCTGAGAGCAAAAAAACACAAGTCAGCAAACAGTGAAATGAGTGGTAGCATTCATCTAAAAAGCAACAAAACGTGAATGAAGAATACAAGCACATATCAAGCATAAAGAAAAGTACACGCACACCAGACGTCCACATTTACAGCCAAAGTATATTCGTATGAAAACACAAAAAATGCAAACAAAAACTACCTACAGAAAGTAAAACAGAAAAGATTTATATAGCAGCTATATGTTTCCTAAATCCTGCTGTACATGGCCGAGAAGCAATGGGAAACACACTGAAACAGTTTTTAATGCATGCATGGCATGTCAGCGCACTACTTATTTTTCTAGTGAACTAACACTGGTGGGTATGCAATGTCTGTTCAGGCAAGTCACGCCGCAAGGCGATTTCCCTGAAACAAGATGTTTTCAGCACTGCAAATAGGATTTGATAAATTTACAATTCCAGCAATCATTGTTAAAATGTCATCAATGTAAGAGAAAAGCTCAGTGCCCAGGTTTCCTGACAGTAGTCGTAGTAGTAGTAGTACTAGTAGAAACTTTAGTGTACTATAGGGTATTAGGGTGAAGTTGGGTGGGTCCCCCAGTCTAGGGCCCCTTGGCCTTTGGGCTCGCTAGGCCTGATCGAGCAGAGCCACTTGGCTTTCTCGATCTTTGCTCGCAAGCCAGACCTCCCACTGCCTCGATTGATATGTGGGGTTTAACGTCCCAGAAACCATATGATTATGAGAGACGCCGCAGTGGAGGGCTCCGAAAATTTAGACCACCTGGGGTTCTTTAACGTGCACCCAAATCTGAGCACACGGGCCTACAACATTTTTGCCTCCATCGGAAATGGAGCCGCCGCAGCCTGGATTCGATCCCGCGACCTGCGGGTCAGCAGCCGAGTACCTTAGCCGCTAGACCCCCGCGGCTCGGCCTCCTACTACCTCTCAAAGGGTTTCTCTCTAACAAGGGTGAATTAATTTCGTGTGACTGAGTCTACACGTCCACGTTATGTGGGTAAGGGATGGCCACTTCCAACGCCATGGATATGTGTCCGGGTAATGCGTTGGGTGGATTTTGTTAAGAATTAGTAGATTGGGATTGGTGTTTGTAACCGGTGGCAGTCCCTAGCCTGTCCGGTATCAATTTCAGGGAGGGGTGGGCTGAATTTTTGCATTTCTCTTCTTTGAGTCTTCAGGATGTCGCCTGGGCTGACTGGAGGTTCTTCGAGAGTCCCTATCGGTACTCGAATACTAAGTATATTTCACGAGCTGTACTGCCGTGTGGCAGCTTGGGCTAGTTGGTATGGCATGACGATAGCGCGAGAACAAAACGACGACACATAGACTCGTGTCCTTCGTGTCCTTCTTGTCTCTGTGTCGTCGTTTGGTTCTGCCGCTCTAACTATCGTCTGTACTGCCGGCTCTCGCTACCCTCAAGTACCGCGTGCGCTGGGCACCAAATGACACCGTGATATTGTTCAAAATATGTTCCTAAAATTTTGGTTGTAATTTTTAATATCACTCTGGACTATAGCGACGGCATGCTGACTGCTAGTCCGAGATAACTAAGGCTTCTTGGGTCTTGTATTCGGCATCTTGCATGGCCAATGCTATGGCTGCTGACTCTGTCATGCTAACTGAGGCAGTTCGTATGGTTGCTGTGATTGTGGTGGATTGATTTGTCGCTACGACAGTGTATTTTCCTTTGGCTATTTGCACGCGTCTGTATACACGTCTCGATTATGTCCCAACAGCCTTTGTAAATATCTGGCCCTGGGATCTTGTCTGCAGTTATAATATATGACACTCATGTTTTTGGAATTGGGAGAATCCACCATGTGTTCTCTGACCTCAATGGGTAGAAGAAGTTTCTTTTCTATGCAATATTGTGGCCTTAAGATATACCCTAGATTTTGTAGTAAAGTTCTGCTTTGCTCTGTTGAGTTGAGCTGTTCCCGCTGCGCGAGAATAACTGACGTTGCGTGCTCTTCAAAAAAATTATGGATGCCCAGGTTTTAGAGTTTTTCAGTGCTTGTATTGTGTGGCAGTCCTAGGGCTATTTTCTACATTGTGCATATTAAAGCGTTTATCTGGTGGGTTTCCTTGTTTGATAATTTCTGCAACGGGGGGCTATACGTCACGTGATGTGTGATGAAATCCTGTCCTAGTCTGTTCATTTCTTCTTCTGTGAAACCTTTCTTACTTCTGGTGACCCGGTAGGCCATGCGTGCTATATACGCTTGTCGTATTTTTCCTCCGTTTAGCTAAGGTGTGACCGACCTTGAGGTCTTCCTCAATCCACAGACCGAATATGCGCAGTGTTTTCACTTCTTTCATAGGCCGGCCGTTTCCTGACAGAATTTCGAAATCTCTCATATGCTGAATGGCGTGCTCCACATGCACGGAGAGCTGAAATTCTCCGATTTTGTCGAGAATCACGTTGC